TGAAGCGTCAACCATGCGGGAGTCCAACAGTGGGAAGAGGCCTGAAAAGCAGCCACTAGACCTCGCACCTCAGATGCCAGGTGGTCAGGGGGGGTTCAGAGATGTGTAGGACTGAGATCTGCCCTGTTCCGTCTCACCCACCCCCCTCCTGCCACCTCCCCTCCAGCTCTGGCATAATTGTCTTTCCAGAAAAGACGGCACCCATGTTCTCCGAGGCAGCGGAATCAACTCTGTTCCCATTTTATGGTAATTAAAGTTTGATGTAGCCCAGGTTGGGGTTTCGGGATAAATCCCCCAACTCTGAATGTGGGAGTGATGGGCCATGGGGTGCTACCTCGAGAAGGGCTGCCAGTGGGGTCCTCTTCCCTGCTGCCACGCTTGGCAGAAACCTCCCCACGCCAATGCCTCTCAGCGCGCTCAGCGGGTGGCAGGCAGCTGGCAGAAGCCAGAAGGGCACCAGCCCCGGCCATGCCAACCAGCCTTATGTCCCTCCTGCCGTTTAATACACAGTCACCTCCCTCACCTAACAGGCAGCCAGATGCCAGCACGCCCTCACAGAGGGCCTGTCAGGTTTCACCCAGTACCCTCCAGGAGGGCACAGCCAGGGCTGCACTCAGCTAGTGCAAGGAGCGAGCAGCCATGTAGCACCAATCTGAGTCAGGCCTAGACAGGCGGCGCCTGAACGTCGTCGTCTCCTCTCGTGGGACTGAAGCACTCCTTTGACCTCCCCTCTTGATAACCCCACTACAAGGTCTGCCCATCTGGGCATGTGCCCCAGGGAATTCTCTTCTCCAAAACTGAGCAGCAGCCTCCAGAGGCGCCCAGCACCGGATACCCCTTGGATGAGGCTTCTGGTTTAAGGGAACTTGGGCGGAAGGGTGTCTCCTGGAACCCCAACAGCACATATCTCCAAGGGGGGTGAGGGAGACAGGATGGCCAAGGCATTTCAGGTTAAGCCCTTGTTGCTATGACCATGGCAAAGTAAGTCACTCGACCCCTCTCTGGCCCTGAAAGGTGGTGAGACTAGAGTCAGAGTTGGTGGTGGGCAGCAGGGTCTGTAAGCCAGGGAGGGGAGGAGGAGGGAGGGGAGCTCCCACTGAACGCGGGTGCGGGTGGCCCCGAGTCTGGCTGGCGACCCCTCTGTTCTACCTTCGCTCCCTCTGCCTGCCAGATGAGTCCATTCTGGGGCCGCCGCCCCAGGAACGCTGAGGGCTGGCCTGGCCTGGGACTTCCATACCCGCCTCTCCAGGCCCGGCCCTGCCTTTCCTCCACAGGGAGAAAAGACTGGGCTGGGAGAGCAGCAGGGGCCTGGCTCAGGGCACTCAATTCGCATTTTTCCAAATAACCCAACGAACCACCACTAAGGACACTGACAAGGAAAACCTTGTCCTGGACAGGCTGCAGCTGCTAGGGAAGGTGCTCCAGGAAGGGCCAAGACTACTCCTCCCTACTGCCGAATCCTACCCTTGGTTTTAAGGAAAAAAGTTGTGCAAAGAAGAATTGTATGTTTTGTTTTTTTTTTTTAAAGATTTAATTATTTGTGTATACAGAACTGGGGCCAGAGGCTCAGAGGCGGTAAGAGGCTTCACCAGAGACAGAGCGGGGAGCAGAACAGGCAGATCGAGGAAGTACACTGCTGAGGGGAGCAGCGGGCGGGTCAGGAGAGGTCTGCCACACCATGTGGTCACCTCCGGGGCAGGCGGGAATCGAACTCATGCGGAAGCGGCTTTAGATTCTCAGTGCTGTGCTTTAACCCGCTGCGCCACCAGGGAGGGCCAAGAATTGTATGTTTTTAAAGCAACGCCAATTCCACCACATGAAACTACACAAGGCTAACACTGAGCCAGCCTCCCTCCCCTACCACAAAACGGACTGCAAGCTCACAGCCCAGCCTAATTATTCGAAGTGCAGGGTCCACCTTTCCACGCATACGCGGGGCAAATCCATTTTCTTGTTGCATAATATTCCTGGGAAAACAGTTGCATCAGAAAGGCAGCCCCGGAGGTCTACCACCCACCAAGCGCCGGCGAGGCCCTCAGCCCCCAAGGCGAACTCGTATCCCAATGCCTTTCGATGCCAGTGAAGCTGCGTCCGTTTCCTCCCACGGAGGGCATGCCAGGCGCCCCGTGGAAACGAGGTGGCGAGGCTAGCCCGGGGCCCTGCGCATGCCACGCGGCGCTGTGTCCTGCCCTTCGGGGACCTTTTATACTGGTTTATCTTTCTCAACCAGTGAGAAAGAATCTGGGCGGTAGGACTTTTTAACAGCTTTCCTGAGAAATGCAGTCGCTTGTGGATTAACCACGGGGAAATGTTCTGAGGTCACACCACACAATCACAGCTACATGGGGCGGCTCAGGGACCGTCGTCTGTGTGGGCCACTGCTCATGACCCACACACCACAAAGGGACACACGACTGTGCTCACAGGTCAGCAGTGCCGCCTCAGTCCCGAGGGATGGGCCCAGAGCAGAAGATGGAGAGAGAGTGAACTGAGCGTAGCAGAGGAGCCAACACTTACAGCTGCACTAGCGCCCTCTGCCCCCACAAGCGAAAGGCCAAATGTGAACATTTGCTATACTGAGGCCTCTCAAATGGGCTGAGGCCAGCCCTGGGGAATCACCTGGGGACTCCGGGCAATTTCTGGGGACACCAGATTCTGGCTGTCATGACTGGGGGGCGCTGGGAAGAGGGGCCAGAGGCGCTGCTTGACGCCCACCGTGCTCCGTCAGGCTGCTGCGCGGCCTCTGCTGCCGCTGCAGGCGAGAGCAGAGCAGCGAGACGGGGCGGCGGGCTGCGTGGCAGTAAGGCCACATCTATGGAAAGCTGAGCTGCACCTAGCTGTACGTACTGCACGTTCTCTCGATGCCCCTTTAGAAATGTAAAACTCTGGGGAAGTAACTTTGTTATTTAGGAAAGTTTATAATCCGGCACGAAGATGATAAAGAAATTAAACCTTACGGAATAATACTTTTGATGGGAATTTAAGAATGTTCTAAAACAATCATGAAAATTTATGTATAAGGGTATTTGGAATATTTAAGAAATCTGACATATTAATCATGACTGATTTGCAATGTTTCATTATCATTAAACATAACTTATTTTAAAAAAATGTAAACTCATTCTCAGTTTGCAGAGAGTACACGACCCCTGTTCTACAGGAGAAAGAGCATGAACACTTGAAATTCACAGAGGCCAGTCAAGTGTGAGAGTCTGGCTTTTAGCAAGCTAGCACAGAGGTGGACTGACAGAAAAGGGATGACGGCGGGACTTCCTGGGAGCCTGAAGAAGGTAATGAACCATCAAGTAAAAAAACCTCTAAAATCCAGAAGTGGAAACTCTCCCCTGGATTAGCCTGTGATGAATGTGCTGGAAGGAACTGGCCCCAACACGGATGGAGGGGGCAGCTCAGGCTGGAGGGACAAGTCCTTGCTTAGCAGGAAAAGCTGTCCTGGGCTCCTTCCCCCCAACACTGGTGAAGGCCTGGCTGGATCCTGAGTGCCCTCTGACCAGAACAAGCTCTCTGCCAATCTGGGGTCCAGTCTCTGGCACCCAGAGGCCTCGGGCCTGCCAGCCTGGTCTGCTCATGGGGGAAGCAGAGCTTGCAGCCGTCAGGATTGCTGCCCCGGGCGCCACCAGAAGTCCTCAGAGCCAACACACCAGGACCTCCACGAGCAGATGCCCCATGGTCAAGGCCCACACCCTGGCCGGACAACAGGGGCCTGGCCGGCTCTTCCAGGGAGCCCCTCATCGTGCTGGACACCCACCTTGCACCCCGGCGGGCTCAGCGTGCCGCGCGCCACTTGTTCGGTAATTTCATGCTGCGCCGCCCGGCACGTCAGGCGGAGGCCCATCTGAGGCGGCCCTTCCCAAATGTCGCTTGTTTGTGAACACATGGCTGAGCCCAAAATTGCTTTCAATATCTGGGCAGTGCTTGCTGGCTGAAGCTCTGACAGCACCTCCAGAAAGTGCCTGCAGCCAGGGGCTCACAACTCAATCATGGCTAGGCACAGTGGGGTGCTCAGGGGCCCCAGGGCCCAAGCGCGCTCTGCTTGAGTGGAACGAGCCACCGAGCTCCACGCAGTAACACAGCCAAAGGAAACCACAAGCTCTGAGATACTTAATTACTCTTTGGGACCAACAGAAAAATTCTGCTATTTCCATCTCCTTTCGCATCAAGCCTCAGCTTCTTCACCAAATACAATCCCATGATTTCCTAAAAAGCCCGATCCTTTAAATTCTGGGAGCACCGCTCCAATCTTTCTGGCTACAAAGAGCCCATTTCCCTTTCTAACTACGCTGGAATAGTGAAGCTAGAGAAACAGATAATTAGAAAAACAAAGGTTAACTAACTTATCTAGACTTGCACTGCACAATAGACAGTAACACACATTAAATAATTTTAATAATTATTATGTGTGAATAATTTTCCCAGTTGCTACATTCAAGAAATTAAAAATAAACAAGTGATATTCACTTTAACACGATGTTTTGTTTGACTCAGAAATATCAGTCTATGTCATCAACACATATGTTTTTTGAGAGCTTCTCTGTGTCTGGGGTCACGTCCCGAACCTCGGATGCGCTGTGGTTCCCAGCACAGCACATCTCCGCACACCCAGGCCACGTGTCGAGGCATGACACCAGCACGCAGCCGCAGACACCGACTGAACACCTGACTCCAGATCCCTGTCTGTAGTCCAGACAATGCTGAATGAGGCGAGGTCTGGATTCCAGGTGCTCTCCCTCCGCCCACTCTGCCCCTCACTTCCAGACTGATGAGAGAGCCACATCTGCCTCCATCCGGGTCCTGAGAGACCCGGGCCAAGCAAGAAACCCCAGAGGAAAGCTACAGCTCCCATGTGCACTAAGAGAACAGCCCCTGGCCTGGTGCCCGACTGCGTGGAAGAGCAGCACACAGGTTCCGGACCCGGGAAGCAGACTGGGGGGGTGGGGAGGGGAGCCCCGCATACACCTTTTCACAAAGCCTGTGGCACTTACCTGAGTCGCCACCTTGCCATAATCAATCCACCGCAGGGTGGCAAAGTTGGTGGACTCGGCACAATTGAATCCGTGATTAAACCCTGCATGGTAGCCGTAGGGAAATGTGATCATGAACTCCCCTGCTTCCTGCGTGATCTGCGGAGGAAAAGGACAGCAGGTGAGGACTGGGCCCAGAGCGAGCATGCAGCGCGTCTGCGAGCAGTTTAACACCTGACCCATGTGGGGCCAGGCAGGTGCTGAGGGGGGCCAGGAGACACTAGCCAGCACGGCAAGAGGCTGTGTGGGCTCCAGGACTTCCTCCCAAGTGGCAAGAAGCCCAACTGCAGGAGTCATCGGAGTCCCGTAAGTGAGAGGTAGTTCCGCCTCACTTCCTCGGCTCCAGCAACTTCCCAACCCCTGGACCTGGTGTGTAAAGCAGCTGAAGCCTCTGCCACCAGCCCTGCCACTCACACAGCCGCTGGGCATCCAGGTGACAGACACCATTAGCTCTCTCCAGACAAGTGAGCTGTAGGCACAGATGCAATTTATCTGCATGCCATGATTCCAGGCTTCTCATGGGTGGGCAGGGTGGGCGCGGGCTCCTGCCAGCACTTCCTGTGCCCGTGAGGTGTGCGACAGGGTAAGCTGGTGCTGCTAGCGGCTGAGTGGCTCCAAGCACAAGATGGCAGAGTGCATGCCGTCAGCCTTGTCCTTCCAAAAAGAAGGATGAGCTGCACGGCCAGGTCCCCAGAAGACAACCTAAGTCACTCACCATAAGCACAGAATGTGCCCACTGTAGCCCGAGGTGGGTCCCTCTAAATGAGGTCTAAAGAAGCGCATCAGCATGCTGGAAGGACAGTGTCGGGGTCAGAACTCTGAAACGACCGGATGGCTCTAGACCCACTCAAAATGACCTGGAGAACCATACTGATTCGGCCTTGATGACACAGACCCCAAACCAAGCAGCTAGCCATGAATGACCAGGGTGGGGGGTTCACAATGACCCCAGAACTGAGGCTTAGAGAATGGAGAAAGAAGCCTGCAGGAGAAAGGGGCTTCAGCCTCAGCACCCAGGCACCCAGGCCCTCCTGGGAGAGCAAGCTGCTGAGGTCCCTCCCCAGACCACCCCCTCCACACCAGTCCACCCCTAAGCCCAGATACTGTTCTGAAAGGGCAGGTGGCCAATGCACTAGCCGCTGTTTCTACTCCATGTTCCAGGACCCAGGAGGTGGATTTTGGCCCATCCCACAGAGGTGCAAAAAGGCTGGAAACATGGGAGTGATTCTTGCTGAGCCGGAGGGTTGGGGGAGGCCAACACCCAGTAGGCAGCATAGGACACAGGCTGAGTTCTGAGTAGCCACCATCCCAGATGAAAACAGGTTGCTTCCAGTTGCTGGAGTAGTCCCCCCGACATGAAATTCACCCCTTCAGTGTGCTCCCAGTGACAAGAGATCATGTTTCCAGAATTTCGGATGTAGGAAACTGCTTGGCCCGTACTCCTGGCCTCTTGTTCTGCTGCCTTCTAGATTTATCCGTTCCTGTATCCTAGTCATAGTCCCTTTCCATTCTAAAGGTGTTCTGTCATGCGCTCTGTCAGCAGTCACTGCCACTTCACGATACTTCAGACCATGTAAAAGATGGGGACCCGACAGTCTCTGCTGCCAAGCCCAGGAGGGGAGCAGCTGTCCTGCCCGGGTTCCTATGGTTATACTCAACAACATCACACAACGATGAGCTCCCAAACGACACATCCTCAGAATGTATCTCCGGCTGCATTTACTATCTGTTTTGTTGACAGGCTGGGGCTTCAGGGCCCTGCGTGGACAGGTCTTGCGGACGCGCTGGCGTGGCCCATGAGCAAACAGATGCAGGGGCACTGCAGGACCTCGGGGTGTGTGCCTGCCTAGGCTTGAGACGCCACAGCAGTTTTCGAAAGCAGCTCCCCACGTCACCCATGTTGGGGTACGAGTGCCCGCTGTGCCCTCCTCAGCAGGTCTGGAGTGCAGCTGTCCCTGTGGGTGCGCACAGGGTGCCCCTCAGCCTGGACTGTGTCCCAGGGAGGCTTACAGATCTGAACTCTGCTATACTGCTTCTCCAGTACATTTTCCTTTGCAAAACGTCAGTATGAATCTTTTGCCCCTGTGTGTCGGGTTCTTTTATTATTGATTTGTAAGAACTCTTGGGCCTGCTAATCTTTACTTATTCTCCAGAGAGATGAGTAGAAATCACTTAATTTATCTAAATAATCAACATGAACCCTGGCTGGGAGGGGAAGGCAGCAGAGTGAGACTCCAACTCAACCATGTAGTCAAAAATCAATCAAAACCGACATGCCCTGGAGAGAAGCCAGTCTCAAGAACACCAATATATTTTTCTTTTCGAATAATGAATTGCACCAATCAAGGGAAGTCAGTATGCATTAAGTTATATTTTTAAATTCCTGTGCCATTGACAGCCACATGCAGGGAATGAGTGGTAGGCAGGCGAGGGGGCAGGGAGAGAATGCGTGAGGGTCCCCCAGGCCCTGGCCACCACACACAAAGCAAGGGCTCTCTGGCCGCTATAGCTCGCAGCTTTCTGCGCCAGTGGCAAATAAAATTAAGGCTCGGTGACTTTTCAAAACAACCACTGACTTCCTCCGTTTGAGGCGACCAACTTCACATTCCCCGTCTCCGCCACACGCAGGCTCTGGTACAGCACTGACCGGGGCTGCAGCACCAGGTATGGCCTGAGCTTGGAGCCTTCCAGGGTGAAGCGGGACCCCCAGGGCATGAGTCTGAAACATGGGGGGAAGAGGAGTGCCTAGCTCCCCCCAGCGCACCCCGGGCCTCATCCATACATCAAGGACTACACAGAGGATGTACTCAGTTACCACGACAAGAAGATTATGTTCCTGTCAGAAAATCTACATCCTGGTGGCTTCATTTTGAGCCTACAGTCTCTATCCTCCATGTCACCACTGTCAACATTATCCTGACAATAAATTAGAAGGCACTGGGGATGATGGATAGGCTGTGCAGAAAGTAATAAGTAGTGAAAGGAACGCCAGCCCCAAATGCCCATCACGGAGAAGCTAGAATTCAGTTTCTTCTGCAAGCTTTTGTAGGATAAATGAGGAAGTCAATGGCAGATTACAGAAATACACACTTTTAATTATTAAAAAGCTCTGCTATTGATCTGCTTTTTCTTGTAGAAGTAAATACCATTACAAAGATTTATAAGTGGAGCGTAGGGAGTCATTCCTTCAAAGCCTGCCAGGAATTCAGATGAGGGGATCCACGTGGAACCCTGAGAGGGGCATTCACTCGGAAACCAGGTGCCGCCGGGCCTGGGCACCATTCTGAGGCTAGAGGCACCGGGAGTTGCTCTGTGCAGGCTGGACCAGGGCCATGGCTCACAGGCCAGAGAAAACACTGCCTAGCCGAGTGGGCCACCGGGAGACCCGGAGGTGCGCGGGGTGCGGGCCCACTGTCAGGCACGGCTGCCCTCGGAGCGCCAGTGGCCCCGCGGCCCCTCCGTCGCGTGCTGGCGTTTCATATACCAAGCGCAGCACCGTGTCGACACTGCTGAGGGAGAGGCAGGCGCCCCCTCACTGACGTCCCTTTCAGGGTGTTCTCAACAGGCCAGAAGAAAGCACGATCCCTCTCACTTCTGTAAGCAATGCCAAGGCCCGCTCCTTGCCACAAACGATGTTCAAACCACGTCAGGAAAAAGCTGCATTTCTCACAGCAAAATATCCCACTACCTGGTGAGCTTAGGAGACAGCTGGGAGCCGGCCTCCTGGTTGAGGCTGTGACAGAAAGAACAAATCCCTGATCATGTGCAAATGCTGGGGGCGGTTTGATTGAAATGTCAGAAGCAATTTCCGACTTGCTGACACTCTTGGTGAGAGGGAGGTGTGAGGGTCTGAACTTACAACGTGCTCTTGTAGCTGACAAATTGCTCTTCTGGAGAAAGCTTCAGAAATCAGGGCCCAGGAGGGCTCCTCTCCCAGCCTACCCTGGTGCCCACCCCAGAGTCTGCTCAGGCCTGCCACAGAGATCAAGGCACGTGCCTGTCACTGGACCAACTTGCCCAGCCTGGCCCACAAACAAGGACCCCTAGGGGCTTCAAAGCCAAGCTGCTCAGCAATGTGGCCACTGGGATGTCCTGGCAGTGGCTGTGACCCCAGAGCTCGGCACCGACCCACCCTCCACAGGGCGGCGGGCTCCCTGCCAACCAGAGTCCCCAGCTTCAGGCCTCATTCACCACAGCTCTTCATCAGGACAAGTGGAGCAGCCCTGGAGCAGTGAATTGAATGAATTCAGTCTTCACACTGGGAGAGGCAGATATTTCATTTCTAAACAGGTATTCATTCTGGCAAAAGATGTGTGTCCTGGGCTGTGGGGCAGAGCCAGAGCTCAAGAGCAAGGAGAAAGGTCTGGCTACGTTCTGCAATGGCTTCCTGGAAAATTCTCAGGGGCCGCCCTTCCTCCACTCCCCAACCTTAGCGCCACAATCCACACCAGGCAGGGTCTGGGTTTGTGAGGGACAGGAAAGAAAGCCCACACCCACCTGATTCAAGAGGATCTCCTCGTCCATCCTCTCCAATGACCTCCCTTCCCCGAAGAGCCAAGATGGCCATCCCCTGACTTGCCATTGTTCTAGAATCTTCTCTAGGTTTAAGAAGTCATTTTCCCGGGATGCTTGTGTCCCCATGGTCCTGGGACCCAGCAATCCCCTTACCTCCACCCCAACGTACCCATACCCTGCCCCCTGCCCCACATACCCGGCTAAATGGGATGCCATACTTCTTGAGGATGATAGGGGAGATGAGCGTCATCTTGTGCCGCAGGAAGGCGTCACAACCCTGGGAGCTTCCAGGAAAGAACCCTAGAGCAGAAAAGACAGCATCAGTCTGACGGGCCAGGCTGGGCAGGCGAAGATGCCCTCTCCCTGCAGTTCTTTCCTCCTGTGGACTCTGAGGGAAGGAAATGCACAGGACCCCGTCATCACCCCATGTGCTCTGCTGGGGCAGGGATGGTGACACCCGCTGGCCCTTTATTTACTGAACCCAGTGCAGAGGGGGAGCTCCCTCACCCAGCCAGGCCACCTCTGTCACCAGGCGCAGGCCCTCGAGACATCTGAGGTGGGGGTGTATGAGGCCACACTAAGACACTCCCTTTAAGCTTCCCAAACTAAACCCACCACACTGCATACTGGGCCAGTGTAGCGGCCCAGCCTCAGGGGAGCAGGGGCACAGGGCACAGGGCACAGAGCTACCCACACTCCGGAGCAGACAAGTCATGAGCAGGAAGGATGATTATCCCTCCCCCCACATCACAGGCTCACTCTCTGGAGGTCACAAAGGGGTCTGCCAGGAGGGAGCCTCTGGGAGCCACGGACTCTGCCTCAGCTCCCTCAGGCCACAAGCCTCCACAGACGCCAGGCAGTGAGGAAATGAAGGCCACAGACGGCCCAGCAGGGAAGTGGCAGAGCAGCAGACCTAACCTGCAGTGCAGCTTCTGGCCCTAACTCCTGCCCTGCTCACTGGCCAACAGAGAGGTGGCTGGAAATCACATCTGAGTGTTCCTCTGTCCAGAGCACACAACTTAACAGACTTAAAACAATGTCCGTAAACCTGCAGAATTCCAACTGCCACTTCCACCTCATCAGCGTTCAGGGACGTTTCCAGATCACTTGTTTGCTGAAACAATGACATGCACATCTGGAGGAAGTCTGCCTGATGGCGGTGGGGCTCGTCACCCCCAAACTGCCACCCCGAAGCAGTAAAAAAAGGGCTGATATGTACCTAGGTGGTCAGTGTCTGCCTCTCTCCAGGGCTGACCCCCAAGAACAGCTGGCTGCAAGACACCTTCTGGCCCCCTGCCTCCAGGCCAGTGTGCACCCTGCACGGCCACTGATCAGCAAGGAAACACACGTGTGTGTGTGTGTGTGTGTGTGTGTGTGAGAGAGAGAGAGAGAGAGAGAGAGAGAGAGAGAATGCAGCTGACCCGCACTCGTGCGCACACCTTCTGTGCTGGCATAAGGTGCCTGGCCGCAAGGACGCCATGATGAGGTTTTAGAAAGTACAAGGGATTACTGAGTCCTGCAACTTTCCTCTGTACTAAAAGCATTTCAATTAGAGTTATGGCAGCCTGCCGCCCGGCCGCCGGCCTCTCCGCAGTTCCTCTTTTTAATGCACAGTTTAAGTGGCTCTCATTAAAGCTCTAATAAAGGCACACATTTTAAGTGATTAGCACCAATAACGCGCCAACACATTAATGCTCTCTCCATGGGCTCCACAACTCTCCCAGCGAGCCCATTTGGAGAGTAGCTATTCATTCTCCATATTAATAGCAAACTCATTCCACCCATCTCAATAACTCAGTCCAGGACAGATCTCCCCCTAAAAGTTGGGACAGGACACTGAAGAGAGCACCGGCCCTCAAACCTCCTGGGAGGCAGGAGCAGCCTGAACAGGGGCCGCCTCCTGACACCTCTGCTTCATGACCCCCCCGCGTTCTGACAATGCAGGTTTGCCGAATTCTGGTAGGGCTCCCCCCTGCTGAGGAATGACTTAATGAGTCCATAGATTTCAATAAGCAACGACAGGGTGCCCAGATGTCTCAGTCTTCCCTCTCAGCTCTGGCCTTCCAGCCACCCCCAGGTGCCAGAGAGCACCCTCAGCAGAGCCCCTCCCCAGAGATGGCAAGGGGAGAACAGGCCAAGCTCCCGAAGGGCCCTGGTGCCATCTGGGTGGGTGGCCCACAGCTTCTGCAGCTGGCGCTCATGTTCTCCTCCACAGGCCCTCAGAGTGAGGCCGGGCAAGAGTGGCCGGGCCAAGTGCCTGGAGCCGGAGTGGAGGCACAGGCAAGGGCTGGCGTTGCCACTGAGGCCCTACTGCCGGCTCCGCCAGTCTCTTCCATGGCTCTGTGGGTGTGGGAGGCTGATATGGCACCCCCAAATGCCCCTTCTGATGCCCTGAACCTGTGGCTCCAGCACCTTCCATGGCAAGTGCAACTTGCAGACAGGGGGAAGCTGAGAACGCTGAGAAGGGAGATGCCCGGCTTCACTGGCCCTGTGTCCGGCGCTCCTGAGAGGCAGACCTGCCAGCCGGGCGCAGGCCTGCGACCCGAGACAGACCAGAGCGAGATGCTCAGGCGTCAAGGGCTGCTTCGCCTCTCGCAGGGCAAAGGCAAGGAGCAGCCTCCTCTGAAGACTGGGGAAGGAACTAGCCCTCCCAGGCCCTGACTTAAAGGTTTCTTTCAGACTTCTTTTAGGCTTTGGAACTGAAGAAAATAAATGTGTGTGCATATGTATGTTTAAATTAGGACTTTTTTAAAAAGAGCATTTTAAGATTCACAGCAAAACAGAAGGAAGCTGTGTTGTTTTAAGCCCTGAGTTTGTGGTAATTAGTTTATGGTAACAGCAACAGGAAACTAATGTACTAGGGAAAGAATTTTTTTAACTTATACTTCTAAATTAAAATTTGTATTTAAAAAATACAATGGGGAAAGTGTTAATATTAAGTTTGTAATTCAGAGTTTCATAAGTAAGGGAGACATGTTGACTGGGGAGTGTCTGTAACTGGAATGTCTACCATGAGAAGCATGTCCCGGGGAACAGGTTCCGCCCTCTCACAGGGAAGGTTCTGGGTTTCTAACACAATGCCCTCCCTGGTGGCCCCTGCCCCCCGCCCCTGCCCCTCCATCCTCGAGGACTGCACGTCACTCACCTCAGCAGACACATGCTGAGCTGACTCACAGCTCCAAGTATATTAGGGCCAGAGACCTGGTTTCCCCAAGCAAGATCCTTCCCATCTCCAAAGTCAAAAAGTCAACAAGAAAGAGGGGAGTGTATGTGTTTGTGTGTGTGTGTGGGGGGGGGGTTGGGTAAAGCCTGAGGAGAGCAGTCGGGGGGCTGCACCAAGCAACAGTCTTCACGCCCACGTGAAGGGGCTGGGTGTGCTGTGGACAGAAGGCGGCCAGACGATGCCGGCAGCAGCGTCTACAACACTGCTCAGCAGGCGTGTCCGCTGGCATGAGGCAGCGTGAGGCCCCACCTGAGGCGGGGGAGCACTGCAGGGCCCACCACCTGCCTTAGCTCCCTCCTCAGGGATCCCGGCTCGTCTCTAAGGGCCCGTGACCTTAGGGTCTGTTTTTACCAAGTGCCCACTTCTCCAGACACAGCCTGTGACCCTCTGAAGGCCCCAGAAGGTCTGGATACAGGTGGTAGCACGGTGACTCCCTCCAGCATTGACACATGATGTTTCCTGAGGGAATCCAGGCGCGGAGGCCCCAGCACACAAGACAAAAGGCCTGTGGTCACCCTGAAGCGCGCCAGCACAGAGAGAGGGCACACCGCACTGAACTCGTCTTCCAGACTGAACACAGGCCTTCAGGGGCACCACGCGGTGCTGGTTCCAGGAGGGGGGAAGAGAGCAAGCTGCTCTCACTGGCATCAGGAGCTGTGCACATCCAGGAATTCCCAGCTAGGAAAGTGGAAGACGGCGCGCTGAAAGCACGGCAGCCTGCAGCGCGGAGCCAGGGTGCATGGGCCAGCAGCACAGGACTGCTCCCAGGAACTGACACCCAGACAAACGCTGTCTGCGGTCTGTGAGGGCGGCAGCCGCTCCCCACCCAGGCCCCAGGCCCCAGCCCCGTCCCACAGGCACAGAACCTACCGATTGCCAGCCGCTCCAGACGCTTGCCGTGCTCTGGTGGGATGGCGTACCTGCAAGAGAAAGGGGCTGTCAGGGCACTGACGGCTGTGGTTGCCGCACCCCTCGTGTCCCCGGGGAGCTGGCCGTGGTCTAGACAGGCTGTTCACAAAGCTGAAGTGAAGGCAGTGGTGGTCAAGCCGTGAGGCTGGCAGGCAGCGAGGGGCTGCGGGAAGGCGTTCCAGGCGGTGAGGGCCAGGGGTGAGGGGCGGCAGCGGGGCTGAGCATTCATGGGAAACGCCAGGAGGGGCGGCATTCCCGGTTAGGCAGCACTAAATCCCGAGGAGGCTTAAAGAGCAAAACATCAAATAGAAAGCACTGGGTTGGGGCCGTGGGGGAGGGCACCTCTACCCATGGGGAAGGAAGCTCCAGGGAGGAGGAAAGTTTCATTTGTCACCCACATCCTAAGTTTTATTTTTACACATTTTACATTTGAAGATTACTGAGGCTCCATCATAAATAAGAAAGATGTAAGGTGAAAGTCTGCAAACACATGAAGGGAGAGTGACACCTCGCTAATGCTGCGAGCGGAAGCTGGCGCATGAGCCTGGGCCTCCTTCCCGGCAGGGGGCTGGGCCCGAGGGACCTCTTGGAGGGAGGGTGCCCAGAAGCCCAGAGCGAATCCCAAGCCAGCTGACACTCCACCACCAGTCCAATGCCCTCACCCCCAAACTCAGACCAGGTGAACACCTCAACTTTCAGGCACTGGTGAGCAGAGCTGGGGCGCACTGGGAGACGCCGCCTGTCGGAGTAGGGGAGGCCGTCTGGAAGCTCCGTCTACACAGCTGTTTAAGCACAGGGAGCTCCACCCAGAAGGACCTGCAGGCCGGGCCTTCCTAACCAGACGGATCCTGTCCCCAGGGACACTAGGCAATGTCTGGGAACACACTTGTGGCCTGCAGGGGCCCTGCCGTGGAGGGGTGGGGTGAGCAAGTTCTGAGGCTGTTACTGTGGGGCCACAGTAACCAGAACGGGCCCTACAGAGAACACGCCAGGTGTCAGCAGGGCTAAGAAGGGACCTTGCTCCAGAAGAGCCACAGCCAGTACCTCAGGTTTCTGGAACAGGTCAGGGGAAAGGTGCATCTCAGAGACACTTCCTCCCTCTCACAGCACAGAAAGAATGGCGGGGTGAGGACATGGGACATGAAAGGGTGCCCAGACGCTGTAGCTACTGAAATCCAGTCCAAATGAGAGGTCTATTAATTTTTGTAAGTAAAACTTAAAAGGGAAGGGTTAGGAGACAAGGTGGACATCGCACAGTCTCTACTATGACAGGATAAAACCATGAATTTCTGGGCATCCTCCTGCCACCCTGGGGGGCTCGGCCACACCCCTTCATTCTACAGTCAGAGATGTTTTCATTGTCTGGACAGAGATGAAAGCACTTTTTAAAAAATGGTCTTTTATCAGTTAAAAAGGATGATAAAAGTTAACCCCAGTGCAAAGCACCCTTTGGAGTCCCCATCCCCCCAAACAGGGAGTGAGACATTCTGCACCTTCCGGGAAGATGCCGCAGGACGGAGGCACTAATTTATGGCTGCAAGGCTGTGATGATGAATGCAATATTCCCAGTCTACAATGCTGCCTTCACTTAATTACCGCCTGTAATTGGGAGTTGCAAAGATAAGATTAATTGAATCTGGTGGATGTTAAAAGTTTAATACATTGGAACGTGGCTCCTCCGTTATCAGAAAGTACAGAATGCAGGACGTCAGCTGAGTGTCAGAAGAGCACCCCTGAGAGATTAGAGGGAGTCAGGGATGGAGCTCTGGCAGCCACAGGAATGCCAGGAACGCCGCTCTGGGGGTCCAGAGGGCCTGGAATAACCCAGGGACAGCCTCTGGGGAGAGAGGAGTTCCACCCCACCAGGCACACTACCCCAACTCTCCCGGGCGTGGCAAGAAGACCTCTGTTTTCAGGGGTGAATCCCATCAGGACTGGGATTCAGGTGCCTGATGCCAAGCGTGAGGAGTGTGGGCTGGCAACCCAACCAGGAGGGTGTCGGGAAAGGCTCCACCCGGCAGAGGGCGCGCCTGTGAACCTCCTGCCTGACGCCGAGCAACTCCTGGACAGTGGGCTGCCAACTCCACAGAGCCCTCTCTCTACGGCTGGCTGTCTGGGTGCCCCCGGCAAGCCTGACGCGATAAAGGCCTGGTGAGAGGGCTACAGAGCTGCCCCTCTATCTCCAGGAGTGGGGTGCACTGGGCAGAGCCTCACTGCAGCGCACCCAAGGCCTGGGAGAGCCAGGCCACGTAACCCTCAGCATGTCACCCATAGCCCTATCCGGAGTCACCATCAGAGTGGGGCCTCCCTGACTCTCAGCTTTGGCTCTCGGAGAAAAAGAAAAAAAGGAAAAGCAGTTACTTGGATGAAAATGTTCGCTAAATCTCCAGGCAGGGAAGCATCTGTCTGGCCATTAGTGAGCAAGTTCTGAGGCTGTAAAACAGACTTGGTTTTATGAGCCACCAACACAGGGCAGTTTGTCTCTCCCTGGGAGCTCTGTTCCCATCACGAGGTCAAGCCTATGCTGCCTGCCTACGACCAGGGACAGCCCCATTCTAGACACGCCACTCCAACACCACGTGGAGGCTGGCCACATCCCATGCCAGAGCCAGAGGTAGCCAACATGCTTCTTGTCACAAGTTCTGAGGTATGTTCTGAGGAGCCACTTGACTCCAAGTTGGCAGCAGGGGCGTGAGGGCCTGCAGCCATCTCACAGGTCATAGTAAAGAATCCAGAGGCACTGGAATAAAGGAATGGGGCAGAGCAGCTTCTGAAACCGTGGGGAAGCGGGGGGAGAAGGGGCTGGGGAGACATCAGAGGCCAGGGGCAGCAACGTGGGGGTGCAGAGGAGGGCCCTGGGGAGGCTGCTGAGGAGCCGTGTGGGACCACAGGCTCTGGGTCAGCGGCAACGGCAGTCACGGTAGGTGGCGCTGAAGGGACATGTTGTCCTGGATTTGGGAGGATTTGGGACTTCTGGCAAGTCTCAGGCTAGGAGTCACCTTTCTGGAACCTACTCTGCCAGAAACATCCCTGCCTGCTATCTTCATCTCTGGATTTTAAAAGCCCCTGTGCACTTTCTCTCTGCTTTTAAACAGTCCAAAGTAATTCTGGACAACTCTAAGCCAGAAAGCCATAGAAACTGGGCTCCGAATCTCCACTGTGGGACGCGCTCTGCGGCGACGGCACCAGGTGACCGCAGAGGCTGCGGCAGGACTACACAGCTCCGTGACTTCAGGCTTAATGTTGCAGAGTTGCCAAGAAGGCCCAGAGAGACAAATTCAGGCACTGTCTGCCAGACGCCCTGTTCAGAAAGGCAGTCATCTGCAAAAGCAGAGGCTTCAGAGGGAAAAAATAAAGCTTGTTTAGCTTAGGTATAAGGTGCAGGGCAGGCAGGATCCGCAGGCGAGACAGAGCCTGCTGGGGATGGGCCCTCTCGGGGACAAGGGCCTGGGAGATGACGCTGGCGGTGAGGGAGCCGCGGCAGTGCCGCAGGCCCCCAGTTTAGGCACTCCAGAAGGCAGCAATGTCCTGGTGGGGGGCACCTGCTGGGTAGACTGGGAAGGTGGCACACCAGGCCTCTCTGCTGCCCCAGGTGCATTCCTCATACTCTGAAGTGTTTCAAGTAGTAACTGCATCCTCCCAATCACAGTCACCCCAAAAAAGCAAGACTAAAACCTGCAATCTGCCCCCAGGGCAAAAGTGGAGGCCCAGGCCACCTCCAGCAGGCAGGCAGGATGTACCCAGCCCGACACTTGTGAATCTGTCCTGCTTCCACCGGGGCCAGGACACCCTGAGAGGCTGCTCCCCAGAGGAACATCGCTGGGCCCAGAGTTCTCATTTCAACTCAGGGGCCGAGAATGCGATGTCACTCAGGTCTCCTGGGAGACAGTGACACGTCAGGGGGATCCGTGTGGACAGGTCACTGTGGTTCCGTGCGAGGTATGCAGAGGCAGCTTCAGGCTGGCAGGTCGTGGGCGCCTGGGCAGTGCAGGCTCCCTGGCGGCCAGGCCGACTACGCTGAGGGCAAACACGTCCTCAGCGGGCAGAGCTGCTCGCCTTGGCCGTGGGCCAGGCAGGCGCCTCCACTTTAAGGCAACGACAGCCCAGGAAATTCTTCCTGTCCGCCACAGAGGATGCTATTAATAGTGTCATTTTCTTGGTGTTTTGTTTATTCCCTTGAAATGGCTTGATGGATGTGAATAATTATCAGACTATAAAAGCCAGCAAATGTGCTATTTTCTATCGCTCTAAATCATCAAACAAATAAAGTGTGAAACAGCATTTTTGAATATAATTTTCCCCTCTAATGGCTTAGAATTATTATCAAGAACAATGAAAATAAATAAGCAAATGCCTTGTGAGTTAAAAATTAAATGAGTGTGTCAGGAAGAGGAACAGGCCGTCCTGCAGAGCAGGGACCTGCTTAGTTGCCACACGAAGAGCAACAACAGGGCGCTCACCCGTGTGGGCTCCAGCACCGCGCCTAGTGCCCCAGTGCCTTCAGCCCATGGAGTGGACACCCGGGCTGCCTCCCAGGGGTGATGCATGTGCTGCAGAACTTGGGCATCCAGTCTACCCTGACCCTCCAGCACCCCCAGATCCTGGGTGTCACTGCCTTAGGACAACCACATGAGACCTCAGAAAGCAGGGTGGGATGGGGGCTGACTGCAGCAAAGCCTGCCCTTCCTGGCCTCCAGCTGGCCTCTCTCAAACTAGACAGCAAATGCAAAGGCTGCTGCTCTCAGATGGGCAAGAAAGGCCAAGGTCACAGGAAAAGTTCTCAGGTGGAGACCATGAGGTGGGCTGTGGGTTGCTGCAGTGAAGTAAACCTGCTGCTCCAGGGGTCTGATGCTCACTGGTTGACTGTCCCTCATTTCCGCATTCCTTCTGGGGTGCTGGACTGCAGGGTCCATTGCAGGTGGACCGTTTCCCACCAAGGAGAACACATTTCCATGGTAATATAACCCTCACCCTTGCCTGCTTGCTGCAAGGGTAACGACTTGTTGAGGGT